TGCTTCCTGAGTGCTGGGCTTAAAAAGCATGGGCCACCATGCTGGGCTTATCTTTTTTAAGAACTCTAGGGTCCTGTATAACCTTTGGGTATATGATTTCTTTCTCTGAAAAAGCTGTAACATTGTTTCATGGTCTTTTAGTATTCAATTATACTGCAGACAGATTGGAGGTAAAGTACATTTCCCCCCTTGTCTTGTGACTTGCATTTTAAAAAGGTGGAAAAACAAAGAAAACTACCCCAGAACAAAACCAAAGTAAACCTTTATTCAGCTTTTTCCAGTAAATTCACAAGGCATATCCAGAATCAGTCATTATCAGAATTTCCTGGATATAACTCACTTCTGACCTTTCATATTCAGGTCTTCTTTCAGTTAAAGAAAAGTTCTGTTTTTGAAACAGGGTCTCACTATGTAGCCCTGGCTGGCCTCAAACTCACAGAGCTCTGCCTGCCTTTGACTCCTGAGTGCTGGGATTAAAAGCATATACTGATAAGGAGAGGTTATAATCTTGTAACCAAACTGTATTGTTATATAATGTCCTTTTGAGCTGAAGCCATTTGCAGTTTCCCTTTGTTGTACTTACTGGATAGATATCTTGAAGTGCAACTCTGTGATTTTTTACCACCCTGAGATGTTCTATTACTCTATAATATCTTGAGGCTCTGTGATGCTTTCTAACTAACCATGATGGATAAAGATATGAAACTAAGAAGATGGAGAACTTGCCAAGTGGTCTATAGGATACCTGTTCCAATAAAAAATGCAGAGGATCCTGCAGGGTGTTGTTTCACACCTTTAATCCCAATACTTAGGAGGCAGAGGTAGACAGATCTCTGTGAGATTAAGGCCAGCCTGGTCTACATAGGGAATGCCAGGCCAGCTGGGGCTACCGGGAGACCCTGCCTCAAAAAGACCAAAGGGGGAAAAAAGTATAGATCAAATGTGATAAATGTCTAAACTTCTGCCTGTGAGATCTGTTTTTTGTAAACTGTCTGACCGACTCCTAGCCCAATTAGCCTTGCCTAGTTGTAGATCAAAGGGTGGCAGGTGTCCCGACCCTTGCCTGTGATATCTACTTTGTAAACTACGATGATAAAACACAAGAAGGGATTTCCTGAGACAACATGGCACATCAATGTAGAGTTATATAGATCCTGGGCCATAAGGTCCAGGTGGCAACTATTAAATGATGACATGAAAATTCCTCTGTAAACCTCATTTGTATTTTACTTGTGGCCTTTGTTGCTCATTCTGGGACCACATTCATGTGAAAAATGAATGAGCTCTCTGACTCTCTGGGGGATGTGCTTAATCTCTTAGGTGTTTGATGAATTTTTCCATGGCAGCACTACCATGCCTGCCTCAAAAAGGCCTGCTTTCTCTCTCTCCCTCCCCCTCCCTCCTTCCCTCCCTCCCTTCCTCTCTCTCCCTCCTTCCTTTCCTTCCCCTTCCCTTTCCCTCCCCTTCTTTCCTTTCTTTTTTCTGAGGCAGGATCTCCCTGTAGCCACAGATGGCCTGGAACTGGCTGTGCAGACCAAGCTGGCCTCAGTCTCACAGCGATCTGCCTGCCTCTGGTTTCATTTGTTCTATTGTCCTAGTATGTTTTTGTTTCCCTTACACATAATTAATTTTATTTCAAGTATGTAAAAAATCCTTTTATATTTTACTTGATCTCTCCAAATTTTTCCTTGTCTCTCATTTTTTTGTAATAAAAGTCAAGAAACACATATTAATAAAATATTTTTGCCTTTAAAAAACTCAAAGTGTGTTTCCAATATATTTTTACATACATTTATTGCGTGTGTGTGTGTGTGTGTGTGTGTGTGTGTGTGTGCATGTGTGCATTATGTGTGGAGGTCAGAGGACAACTTTCAGTCAATTCTTTCTTTCTACCATGTAGGTTCTAGAAATCAAACTCAAGTCTTCAGGCTTGGTGTCAATTGCTGAGCTATCTTGCCAGCCTGCTTTTTTTTTTGTTGTTGTTTTTTTAAAGACAAGGTCCTACTCTGTAGCCTAGGGTGGCCTCAAACTCAGCACTCTCCTTCCATACCTCTCAAGTGCTGGGATTATAGGCATGCACCACTGTGCCTAGTTACAAAATGATTTTGAAGGTTACATGGGACACACTGTATATATGTAGAATAATTTTATTTATCATGCTATTAGATACTATGGTGGTTTGAATGAATGTCCCTCATAGGCTCCAAGTATTCAAACATTTTTATCCCCAGTTTGTGGCACTATTTTGGCAGGTTTTAGAAGGTGTGGCCATGCTTGAGGAAGCATGTCATTGGGGGCAGGCTTAGCGTTCTTAAGCCTTGTTGGATCTCCAGTCAGTCTGCTTCCTGTGCTTGCTTGAAGATGTGAGTGCTTAGCTTCTGCTCCTACTCCAGCTGCTTCTGCCGCCAGGCCTCCCCACCATGATGGGCTCTTGCCCCTTTGGAACCATAAACTAAATAAACTCTTCTCCTTCCCTTCATTATAGTGTTTCTATCATAGCAACAGAAAAGTGACTAATACAAATACTAATATTTTAGTATTTTTTCTCTAATTTTTTGCTATTATAAACATCTATACTTGTTCTTAACTATACTGGTGTTGCTTTATAAAACTGATAACCTAACTTTAATTCCTAGCATGGAAGCTCAGTGCTGAAAAACCTTAAATCGTGTTGTGAGTCCACCTTGTTGTCTTCTCTTTTGATTTAGTTAGGCTCAAGAAAATCAATACATGATAAAAGATATTAAGGGTTTAGGGTTGGTGATGGTGTGCTCTATACCTTCAAAAAAAGATACTGAAGACATCATGGACTGGGTATAGCGGAACATGGTCATAATCCTAACCATAGAACACGCTGCCCCCCACCCCTACCCCCTGACCTCAAGGAAAGGTAGAAAACAGTACAATCTCTATGGGGGGCTAGTTCATATTGCCTGCTAGGCAGGATATTTCCTATTTACCCTTCCCCCATCTCTGCTCCAGGAGCTGACCTGACAGACCATATGAGGGGGCTCTTTGGTCTTCTGGTGGCCAATAGGTGTCACCAACAGGCTACTGAGGAGATGAAGAGAGTAACGCTTTCTAGCAGCTTGCTTTCAGATGGGTTTCCTAGGCTGGCAAAATTCTAAATCCTGCCAAGGTGATCTTTTGCACATAGCTACTCTTTTTGGGTTCTGGTCTTGATTTCACCTCCTTGTTCCTTTAGGTTAGACACAGAAATGTCGTTTTACTGTTTTACATTTTGGGGGTCTGTAACATCACAGGCTTCTCTAAAACCTTTTTAAGTCTTTGCAGACTCTACAAGTACCTAGTTTGGATATGCTTATCTGCTTGCTGCAGTTCTAGGACTTTATTATGTGTCTGTGTCCATGTGTGTGTGTGTCTGTGTATGTGTGATTATAACACAATAATTTGTATCAGTGAAATGTTAGAAATATAGTATCAGCAAAGGACTATAAAATAATTGTAAAACTATACAGTGGAATATTATACAACTGTAAAAATATGAATCATTAGGGTGCTGAGGAGATGACTTAGTAGATAAAGTATTTCCCCTGCAAGCATGAAGACCTGAGTTCAGATCCCCAGAACCCACATAAAGCAGGATGTAGAGGTTGAGCATGTTTGCACTCAGAGGCACAGAAAGGAGAACCCTCAGAAGCTTGAAGGCTAGCTGGGCTGGTGTATGTTGTAGTGAACAAGAGACCCTGCCTCTAACAAGGTAGAAGGTGAGGACCAATACCCAATGTCATCTCTGACCTTGACAGGTGTGCCATGATACTCGTGCACCTGTACGCACACAACCACCCTCTTACACCCATACACATACACAAAAAAGAAAAATAAAGCCGTTAGATATATTGTGAAATAGTCTCAAATATACTAAATGTGGAAAAGCAAGGTGCAAAACAATGAATATAGTATTATTATCACTCCAGTAAGAAAATAAACAAAACCCCCGAACAACGTATATTTATCTGCATACGAACACATACATGGAGAGCCAGGTATTAGGTATTAGGTATTAGGTCATTTGAATATATTACATTATCAGTAAAGATTGACAGTCTTAGAAAACAAGGGCTGAAGAAAAATACTAAAGGAGTCACAAAAAAATAATGGAAAAAGCCAGAAAATTATAAAATTGCTGAAATGTTCCTAGTAGTGTAATTCTTGGGTAATTTAGTTTCTACTTAGTTTTGAGACAGGGTCTCCCTCTAGCCCCAACCAGCCTCGAATTTGCTACATAGACCAGGCTGGTCTCATCAGCCTGCCTCTGCATCCTGAGTGTTGAAACTAAGGGTATGTACCACCATGCCCAGCTGGTAATTTAGCTGCTTCTTCTTCTTCTTCTTCTTCTTCTTCTTCTTCTTCTTCTTCTTCTTCTTCTTCTTCTTCTTCTTCTTCTTCTTTTTTTGTCTTTTTAGAGACAGGGTCTTATAGCTGGCCTGGAACTCGCTATGTACACCAGGCTGGCCTTGGACTCACAAAAATCCACATGTCTCTGTCTCCTGAGTGCTGGGACTAAAGGTGTGGGCCACCATGCCCAGCTGGTAATTTAGTTTCTTAATGTGGCCCATGTATGGAATTTTTCCTTGACTAGTATAAACTATATGTAGGAATTACTTCTTATAGAGAGTCGAGAGAACAAAACTGTTCCTGAAAAAGATTTGCTTAAAACATGATCATATTTCTTATATAAAAGGAGCTTCAGTTCCTGCAGTTCCTTCTTCACAAGGTTACTGACTATGGCTGAGTAGCAGTGCTCAGTGATCTTGGACTCTGTGAATGGTGTGACTTATTAAAGGAAATGGGACCTGAAAAAGACTATCAGGAAGTCAGGGAACAATGGAAGAGAACACTGCTGGGAGTGTGTTCATTTGAGGTAAGTTGGCTAAATCAATCATTTTTTAAAATGCTATTCAAAGAAAAAAAAAAAAAAAGAAAAGGCCCACAGACAGGCTTTTAAGGTGGTTTTGGCATCCTGACATGGTACTCACCCCTCATGGAGCTGTGCTTGGGCAGATTCCTCTGTGACAAGAGTTTCGTACTCCTCAGCAGCAAACCTGTCCCAGTCAGAGGGCTCAGGGCCATCGTTTTCAACATCCTGATTGAAAAGAGGAAATGAGAATAAAGACAAAAAATTGGAGATAGGGCATCACAGATGTATACTGCTGAAAAACCTATCTGAAAAGCTTTCCAACATGTAAAAGCTAAGGCAACATTCCCACAGTTATTTACACCTCAAATTACAAAATTACGTGTTTAGCAGCTATGTTTTTTTGGTCATGAATTAAAAAAAATTGTGTATGTATTTGTATGTGTACATGATATGCATGGGCATGTTTGCCATGGAGGTCAGAGGACAACTTTATGGAGTCAGTTCTTTCCTGCCACCTTTAGTGAATTCTGGGGATCAAACTTAGGTTGTCAGGCTTAGGCAGAAAGCATCTTTACCTACTAAGCCATCTTGCCTGCCCCTTGTCATGATTCTTTAACTTCATAACAGAGATGTTTCTTCAGTCCTTTCTCCCCAGTACACAGGACCCATGTGGAGTGACTTGTGGTTTGTACAAACTTACCTTTCCTCTGCCGGCCTGCCTGCCTCCATTACTCCATTTCTTCTTCTTCAGTGTTGGGAACTGAACTTAGGGCCTCATACATACTAGGCTAATGCTCTACTAATGAGCTATAGTCACAGCTCCCCTCTCACCCTTTTTTTTTTTTTTTTTTTTGAGACAGAGTATCACTATGTAGCTCAGGCTTCCCTTGAACTTGCTTTGTAGTATAGGCTAGTCTTAAAGTTGTGATTCTCCTGTCTCAGTCCTCTGAGGGCTCTTATTACAGGTATGCACCACCATTCAGCTTTTCCTCTGGCAAATTTTTATTGTTTCTCTAAAAGACAAGTCAGATATCACATCACGTCTGGTACCTTCCTAAAATCAGCCCTTCTCTTCAAAATCACTTCCTTCTTTGGGTCAGCTTGGGGTCAGCTTTTGCTCTTCTGTCTTTGTCATGTCCCCATATTCAGAATCTCTTTACGGTGTTTGAAATTTGTGGACCAGTTTTCTGATTAATAATGTTCTTTAAAGACATAAATATACATAATTATTATTTCATATAAAGAAAGGAAAATTTTAAGCTAGGCATACTGCCACTTGTCTGTACTCCCAACACTGTAGAGACTGAGGCAGAACGATCAAAGGTTTGAGACCAAGACCCTGTCTTAAAAACAAAACAAACCAATCAACAAACAAAAAACTGAAAACAAAAACAAATTTAAAACATTGTTAAAGGGTAAAAATAAAATTAAAGGGTATAAATAAAACCTATACATCTTTAAGCTCAGCACTTGGGAGGTAGAGACAGGTAGATCTCTGTGAGTTTGAGGCCAGCCTGGTTTATACAGGCTAGGTTCTAGGCCAACCAGGTGCAACCATAGTGCAAATGTGTCTCAAAAAAACAAAACAGAAACCTATACATTTTCTTTCTCTTCTATAGGCAATGTCCTGGCTTATATATTTTAGAATATATTTCATGCTGAAAATGAGTATTGCTTGATTTGAGTCATGCCCAGGAGAACGTAAGTACCTAAATAGTGACCATACCATGCTAATATTAATCTCTTTTCAGAAAGCAATCATGTTAATACTTCTGAAACATGCCATGTATCATAGACTTAAAACGATATTTATTTTTTATTGAAAGGTACATAAAATAATGGAATACACAGGATTCAGTAAATATAATATTGATTCTAGCCAATGATAATACACCTTGATATGACCCAAAGCCAGCATCAGAGTATTTGTTCTTAGAAAGTAATCTTTGGGGCTAGAAAGATGGCTCAGCGGTTAAGAACACTGACTGTTCTTGCAGAACACCTGGGTTCGAATTCCAGCACACACATTACAGCTAACAACTGTCTGTAACTCCAGTTCCAGGGGATCTGACAGCCTCTTTTGCTCACCGTGGGCACTGCACGACACGGGTGTACTTATCTACATGCAGGCAATACACACATATACATAAAATAAAAATAATAAATAAAATATTTAAAAAAAGAAAGTAATCTTCATATTCTTGCTATTATTCAGGCGAAACACATATGGAATATGTAGAAGAAAAAAAAACTATCAAAACTTCCTGTAGTTGCACTGTCACTCAACTGAAACAGTCCTTTCCTAAATATAATGTTTACTTAAATAGAAGAATTGTAGGAGCAGGTGGTGATTATTTTGGACACGGACTGTACATGTGTAGGGTTTACTGAAGGTCCAACAGATTTTTGTGCAACAAGGAAAGGTGCTTGTCTCTATTCACATGCAGGACCACATTTAAGACTGATAGCCAAGCCGGGCATGGTGGTGCATGCCTTTAATCCCAGCAGAGGCAGGAGGATCTCTGTGAGTTTGAAGCTAGCCTGGTCTCCATGGTGAATGAAGGCCAGCTGTGGCTACAGGGAGACCTGTCTCAAAAAGACAAAAGAAAAAAAAAAAACCCCAAAACAACAACAACAACAACAACAACCAAAACTGACAGTCAAGCACAGAAAGTGTTCATTATCTGAAGGTGTCTATCATGGAGAAATTCTAGGTTTCACTTAGAAAGGTAAAGCTGTTTACTATGCTATCTTGGAAGTGCATGGTACAATTAAGGTCAGTGTAGTTCTAGTACAGATGTGCTTATTGATGTATTTTTCAAAACTATTTTTTTAAAAGTGTGAGTGTGTTATGAGTGTTTTGCCTGAATGTATAAAAGTGTACCATGTATGTGCCTGGTGCCCAGTGGAGGCCAGAACAGGGCATTGGATCCTCTGGAACTGGAATTAATGTTGGGTGTTAGCTGCCATGTGGGTGCTGGGACCTGAACCTGGGACCTCTGGAAGTGCAGTAAATGCTCTTAACCACTGAGTCACCTTTCTAGCCCTTAAAACTAATTTTTTTGGAACTAGTTTTTAATGGCTGTAACTACAGACAGCAATACAGTCCACTAGACAGCTAGTATGCAGCCAGATGGATATCACCTAAACTTAAAGACTGGCTGTGGGAAGAGATATGCTCTTAGTCCTTTATATTCGTTCTCAGTCTCTCATTTATATTCTTTCTCCCCTCCCTCTTTCACCCTTCTTTGCACCTCCTTGTGCCTCACATACTTTATAGTCTCTTTTCAGAATCTGATGAAGTATTATAAATGTTATATCTTTGAAAACAGAGATTCCTACATGCAGAGACCACTTTAATATGTAGCACCCAGTCTTTGGTACTGTAGCTCTGAAAGTTAAATGTAAATGTTACCTTCTGGACTGCAAAGGGATCTCTCTGTTCATGGTCCAAGTATTTCTCCAGGTTAAAGAAAGTATCATAGAAGATATGAGCCATTCTGCACCTCTTCAGATCTCGTAGAGTTATTCTGCCTATGGTAAAACAAATATATCTTGTAAATTTCATTGACAAGTCTTTTAACAAAGAAAAAACTTTCACTGATGTTACAAGTACATGTGCATGTTCATTTTAGTATTAATCACAGGTTTGAAAGTCCAGATGAAATTCATATAGCATAAAATTCACCATTTAGCCTGTATTTTTAGCCTGTATACTTTAATGGCTTTTAAGTACATTCATGATGTTGTACAACCATCAATACTACCTAGTTCCACAATATTATCACTCACAATCAAGCATTCCTCCCAGTGTCCCTCCAACCCCAGCCTGGCAATCACTAATCTACTTTCTTTCTTTATGGAAAAGTCCTAGTTTTAAAATCGTGTATTTGCCAACATTGCTGGTTTGACACTAATAGTCAAAGAGAGAGAAACTTTGTATTAGAATAATACAAGGGCTGTATGTCCCACTCTGTTGCAAAGATGAACAGTGCAAACTGTGTTCATTCATTCTCACCATCACTGGCTGGCTTCACCAAGTCAAGCATCTGGCACAGCAGATCATGGAATGGCAAGGGTTCAATGCCCATGGCCTCCATTCTTTCACATTGCTCTTCATAGAAGTACTCCAGCTCATACATGGAGAGTACACCATCTCCATCCACGTCCATGCAGCGGAACCAATACTCGATGCTAGGAGATAAAAGATGCTCATTAGCATGGACCTGGTGTAGGTTCTTTTTAAAAATTAAAAAAAAATTATTTTATGTATGGAGTATATTGCCTGCATGTATGTAAGTGCACCTGTGTTGTGCAATGCCCACAGAGGTCTGAAGAGGACATCAGATTCCCCTGGAACTAGAGTTATGGACAGCTGTTAGCTGCCATATGGGTACTAGGATTCAAACCCAGGTCAGGTCTTCCTCAAAAACAGCTGGTGCTCTTAATAGGTGTACCATCTCTCACAGCAACTGAATTTTCTTGATGAAATATTCCTTGGTTACTTCTGACTTATTTTCCTGTGGTCTGCTTGGTCTCTATGCCTAGTTCACAATTTCATCTTGAGATTTCTTTCACTGTTCTGTCTTCTAGATCTCAAATTTCCCTTAGTCTTCGGCATGGCAGCCAGTGCTCTTATCTGCTGAACCCTCTTTCCAGCCCCAATCTTTTAGTCTCTTGGTTGGAGGTTCAGGGTAGGTTGACAACATTCTATGTGCATATAATCAATGGATTTCAATATGCATCTGTGTTAAAATTTTGGTTCTCAGTGTGGTGGTGTTAGAAAGTAGTGAGACCTTTATAAGAGGTGGGACATAATGGGGACCTGTGAGGTCACTGGAACTCTGCTGTTGGAAAGGATTAAGGTAGTTCTTGTAGAACCTTGGTTACTTCTCTAGACGGTTCTTATGGAATAGCAACAGTAGTTCCTTCTTGGTTGCTCTGGCTTCCTGTCTTACCATGTGATCCCTTCCTGTCAATATGTTCCCGCCACTGTGATACATCCACCATGAGGTCTTCACCAAAGATGAGCTAACAGCAGTATAATACCCTGAATCTTCAAAACTGTGAGCTGTATAAATCAACCTCCCTCCCTCCTTCCTTGAGACAGGACCTTGCTATGTAGCCCTGGAAATTGTTATATAGACCAACCTGGCCTTGAACTTGCAGCAATTCTCCTTTCCTGCCTATGCTTCTTGAGTACTGGGATTATAAGTGGGTGCCACTCTGCCTCTTTTGTTTATAAGCTACTCACCTTTAGATGTGAACCGGGCCAACACAACATTTGTATCTTCAACTAAGCAAGTGCTCCCCAGCCTTATAAGCTACTGACATTTAGGTGTGAATGCTGTACTAAGTCAATACAACATTCTTATCTTCAACTATACCAAATGATCCCAGCCCTGAACCTCACTACTTTATGCTGTCCATGGAATAAAGCATTAGTTTTATGCCACGGGAGAGAACATGATCTGGAAATCAACAGTTTCTTTAAACAAATGTATAAACCTTCCTATTTGTTGACTCTACCATTATTCTATCCCATTCCCAAGGTCCCTTTATCTCCAAGTGGTGAATGTTTTAAAGCTTTGCTGAGTATAATTGGTTGCATCTTGGGTTTTCCCTCTGCTGCTTTAGGATTCAGGGAATCTGTTAGTGTATCTGCTTTCTAGGTTCTAAACCTTTATCATCATCATCATCATCATATTAATATTTATTTTTATTTTATGTGTATGTGTGTTGCCTGAATGTATGTTAAGTGCACTCGTGTCATGCAGTGCCCATGGAGGTCAGAAGAGGGCATCGGATCCCCTGGAACTGGAGTTACAGGTGGTTGTTAACCACCATGGATGCTGGGAACCAAACCTGGGTCCTCTACAAGAGGGAAGAGTCAGTGCTCTCAAGCATGGAGCCATCTCTCTACCTTATCACCATTATTTGTCTCTCACTTCCTTTATTATTGTATATTTTCCCTTAAAAACACCACCACCAAACAAACAAACAAACAAACAAACAAACAAACAAACAACCACCAACCACCACCACCACCAACAAAAAACCCAAACTCCTCTAATGCTGAAAATGGTGCAGTGGGTAAAGGCACTTGCTTCCAAGCTTGACTTGAATTTGATCCCTGCCCTACTACATGGTACTAACTTGCCATTTTCACTCAGAAGCATGTTTACTTTTGGGGGGGGTGTTGCTGGGGCTAGAACCCAAGGCCCTGCACATGCCTGACAAGTTGTCTACCACTGAGCTGCACTTCAGCATCAACATGCTCTCTCTTTAATATGGCCACTGTGTTATATAAAAGGGCCAAAAAGCATCTATAGTAATGTCAGCAGTTAATCAGAGAATAGGGAACTAATAGTGTTAACTGGTAATAAGGGACACACACACACACAGACACACTTTAAAGGCACTAATTTATGTCAAAGTAAACTCAAGAAAGGGTTCTAGGGTATTTTTGGTTAAATTCACATTTGCAAGCTTGAAATCATACTAATTTCTTTTGGAGAGAGAAAATAAGTTGTAATTGTTAATTGTTTTCAGTAAGATTAAGATCTGGGTGTACCTTTTTAAATAAATACAAATTTTACATTATTGCAACAAATTGAACATGTTAATACTTGCAAAGTTATTTTGAGAAATGTGTCCTAAAACTTGTATCAGCTTGATCTTTTTTTAATTATTATTTTTATTTTATGTGTATTAATGTATTGCCTGCATGTGAGTGCACCCGTGTTGTGCAATGCTGCAGAGGTCAGAAGAGGGCTTTGGATTCCCCTGGAACTGGAGTTAAGGACAGTTCGTAGCCACCATGTGGGTGCTGGGAATCAAACCCAGGTCCTCTGAAAGAGCAGTCAGTGCTCTTAACCGCTAAGCCATCTCTCCAGCCCCCAGCTTGATCTTTAATGTCCCCATTAAAGAATAAAGATTTTCACTGGATCCAGTGAACATAAGGTAATAAGTGGGCCAAATTTAGATGTGCATTTACATCATATTCTCAAGAATTAGAAAAGAGGGTGTGTTTTCTCATTTTGAAACAATTCCTGACTGGGAAAAACCTTCATAAGATAGATCATAAACAGATGGTTAAAATAAATAGGTTAGTATCTAGCTGTTATACAAGATCTTTTTCATTATTGTTCAGTTAAAGATCCTTTGACTAGTGTCTAATAATTTCCTAGTGTCTTAAAATTCCTTATTACTTCCAAGAACCACAGAAAGCAAATGCTGATTTTGACAAGGATCTAAAAGAACTGTAGTGAAAGGCAACTTATTTTACAGAGAAATAAAAATTTAAGTCCTTCAGCCACTTATACTGTCAATTAAGAACTAAAAGGAATGCTACAGTAAGTAAAGAAGTACTTTGGTTCTTTGCAGTATTGTTTAAATTGGAGCGACATTAAAGCATACTTAAGTTCACAAGGGAGGAAAGCCAGAATGAAGAGCTAAATATTCTGCCTGAGTATTTGCAGGATGTGTTAGATCAATGACACATAAAAATTATCATAAAGATCAATATGCAAAATAAAGATGTTTTTAGGTATAGACCTAGAAAAACGAAACAGGCTGCTCAATGGGTAGTTACTTGCCCCTGGAAGTTTATCAGGGGTGGTTGGATAGTTAAACGTATACAGGGCATATTCAGAGGGAATTTTGTTATGGTAAGAAATGGATGTTTTCTAGAATTTCTTCAACGGAGATTTTCTATTTGATTTCTTACCAAAAGTAACATATGCTGCAGATGGCTGGAGAAGAACTGTCCCCTATAATTCTGCTCAATGACAGACCCTGTGTGCTGCACTGTCAACATGCCAAACAAGATGCTCCAGTCGGTGTAATAGTGGCACGTCTAGTGTATATACAAGCAGAAAATTTTCGATTGGATATAATGCCCACTCCTAGAGGTGGAACACACATCTAGTACTGTAGACCAGCCAACCTCCTGCATCAGGGGAGGATATAGGCCCCAGTAGGGAAGCCACTGCAATTGTTTTGTTAGATAGATGTGATGTACCTGCTAAAGTACCATCCAAGCATTTGTGTTTATGCCCATAGGTTAAGTTATTATAGCAGCCACTGTTTAGATGTTCTTTCTTCTTGCTATTCGTGTTTTTATAGTTAGATGGAATCCCACTGAAATGGGCCGATAGCCCATGGAAAACAGATGATGCAGAGACCCGAAAGTTCAGTGCCTTGCCACAATGGGAAGAAGATCATCCCACACTATCACCCCCTCCAAGGCTCAGGGACTTTTGTGGAAGAGGTTGGCAGAAAGAATGTAAGAGCTTGAGGAAGGGGTGGAGTGTTAACTGGAAGTGTCCTCCAACCACTATGCTGGCAGCAAGCTATAGTCATACCACCTTCCCATGCTCGTCCAGGAGTCGAGGAGGGAGTCAGTTACCCCTCCCACCCAATCAATTGACCTTAGCTGCATGTGGGGGAGGGACTAAGGTTATATAAGCTTAGAACACCATGAGGCACCTCTCTTGCCATTTTGTATGGCTGTTGGTACGTCACAGGATCTGTATATGAGTGTGGACTTCCCAGAACAGCTGCAAATGGGGGGGGCACCCACTCTTCTGTAAATAAACCCCCACCCCATGCTCTGTTAGGAAGCCCAAGAAACTCATTAGAATTTTCCACAAAAAGAAAAAGAAAAGAAAGAACAGAGCAAATAGGAACCTTCATTATTCCACCAAAGTTGACCCCATGTTGGCAAATCCTTTAGTCTTTGATTTCTTATTACTATTTTCCTCCTCTTAAACTTCATTGTATTTATATTTTTATGTAACCTGCTTCAAGTTATTTGTGGACAAATGTGTTAAAAATTTCCCCTCTTTGGAATAATAAAACAAAATTTTTAAACGAAAAAACAAAAGTAACATATCCTCAGAGCTCCAAGGTAATGATTATTCATTAGAGGAAAATTAGAAATCAGAAAAGCATATAGAACTGCTGAGAATCAATTTTTGCTATGTTTACCACCAGCTGTCAGAGGAAAACTGTATCAACAACAAATGGCTTTTATACAACTGAATACATAAGACATCATATCTTTTTCTACTGGGAGCAGACAGGAACAACTCCAGATCTTAACTCTGTACACAGCGTTTTTATCCAGTACTCAACAACTCTTGGCAAGTGTGTAGCTTCTTTGATGTAACCCCTTCTTTCTACCCATGTCT